CATCCATCTTCAGGGATGAAGCAAGGAGCGTTAGGAATGTGATGGGTTATAAAGGTTATTTGGATAAATAAGAGTTGTCATGAAGTGAAAATGAATTCCACTTTGGTCTATGTAAGTCAGTTAAAGTATGAAGCGAAAATACGAAGTAGTCTATTTAAAAACAGTGCACGTGTACGTGAAGCCGATGCCTTCAACCGCCGTAGTCCCAATGCGTCATATATTGTCAGTGGATGGACCTGCTGCTTCTGTTTTCGTGATTTTATATGTGTCTGGACCTAGATTCTGAACCAAGTTGAAGAAAAGAGACTTTAAACTACTTGGCGTAACAGTGCCTCACTTCATTCATTTACTTTCCATAAGTTTATCTCTGGTATAATTGCGCAATATATTCCTTCACAGCCCAGTTTGTTTCTAGCGAAACAATCCTCCCTCTCTCCCCCTCACCCTGTTATACTTTCCATTCTGTGAGCACGAAACACATTCTTTCCTTCTGTAACAATGTCTCAAGCAAATGATCTGCTCTAGGAAGTGGGAGCAAGGAGATACGAGATCTTAATTAATTGGAGAAACCTGAGACAAACTATTAACAGAATATTGCATAGTTGCAAATAAATTTGCAAGAAACATCCGTAATGTAAGATGCTTGTGATACTTATATAAGGAAAGCAATGCAGGCTTACCCCTAATCGGGTATACTACTCGTACGTAAAAAAGCAGCTATAGACCAACACCGCCACTGGATCCTATCACATAAGCCACATGAATCCGGACTACAACCTCACACACCATTTCATATCAAACGCTCATAAGCTCTCTTCTCTTCAGGTATTCAGACGACAATGTAAAATGAAATCTTCACCTAAAATTATTCATTGTCAGGACTTTTTCTATCGTCTGTTCTTTAAAACCACGACGTTTCGGAGGCTGGTTCTGTCTCCGTCTTCAGGTGAGAGGTACCTACTCTGTTATATAATTTATAATTTTTATTTTATCATTTAAGTATTATAATCTACTGACAGAACCCGTACTTGGGTGGATAAGTTGAAATAATTGCACGATTTATACTGTCCAGTGACAGAGACTTAACTCTATCTAAGGGACCATACAGAGTAGGTGCCTCTCACCTGAAGACGGAGACAGAACCAGCCTCCGAAACGTTGTGAGTTTTAAAGAACAGACGATGGAAAAAGTCCTGACAATGAATAATTTTAAGTATAAACTACCGTCGTCAAAACCTTTTAGAATTGAAATTTTCACCGCTGGCATGCGTGCTATATGCCCCGTCCATCTCATCCACCTTGATTTGATCAACCCAAATAGCATCCTCCCGCTGTCAGTCGCTCACAACACTTGATAACGACAAGAAATCTGAACCAGAAATACAGCCTTCAGCTGTGTCATTTCATAAAAAACGAACCTGTACTAACAACGAGGCGGCTGATATTTAAACGACGCAAACGATAACATTGCCCACAGAGATTTTATTATGTAACGAGTTAGATTAGTTCAATCAAGGAGGGTGAGCTGGACATGTAGCAGGGACAGGAAAACAAATGAACGTGTACTGAGGAAAGCATTAACTTTAAGATCGAGAAGATCGGAGGATGCTTTTAAATGTGATCCTGAGTTGAAATGGCTCCCAATCGTGTTTGAGGTTAGCGATGCTGAAGGAGGTTGTCTCCCCTCCCCAAAATAGAGTGTGATATATAAATTTTGGCAACTCTGTAACAGAAGAAAGTTTTCAACAGTTTACACTTAATTGCTTTCATCATAGTATTAATTCCTAAATATTCTGGACAAAACATATTAATTGTTCTACGCCATAAATCTGGCAAACGGAAAATAGTTTCGTGTTTATCAATTTCAATGTTAGTTTAAACCGAAAAAAGAGCGGCTGCAAAGCTGTTTCGCTAATTGATCATCACGTCGAGATGATCTACGGCATGAATCCCAAACGGAAATTAACAGAGTAATTACAATTTCCTGTAGAAATTGCACGGGATGGTTCAAACGCTAGATTCCGTAGTAAAAATAATCTATAACGGTGAATCATCCATTCGCCAACGCATAGAGAAAAGACGCCAAAGTTAATGGAAATAACTATGAACAAAAATATTTTTGTAATCAGTTTAAAATCTGTAAGCTAATTCTGTGGTTCTCGACTAAATCAAACGCAAAGTTGGACCGTGAAAAGCGTGTGAAAACGGATTGGAAGGAGGCAACTGTGACCTTCGCTTTCAAACGAAGCACAACATTCACTAATATACGAGCCAAGCTTCGGTTACCACCTTGGGACCTTCGCTTTCAAACGAAGCACAACACTCACTAATATACGAGCCAAGGTTCGGTTCGGCTCAAATTCTCTTCCCATAAAATCAGTTAAAAAACTGTTATTTTCTGTGTAGGTTTTGATGTTTTCACGGCCTTAAGTCCGAAGATGACTGCATTCTGGGTTGTAGAGCCGTGTGTACAAGTTTCATGCGTCATCACGACCACGTGTGAACACTCTTGTTCTATTGTATGTGGACTTACGTTTTACACCTACGATTTTTTGCCATGAAGTTCCGCCAGTAATTTTCAAGTCCATAAATATCCCACTATAAATAAGCTTGGGAAACACAATCCTTCGAATCTACGTCACTATAAAAGTCTTAAGCTTACCTGTATTTTATTCGCTGTCATAAAACTGGCACAACTGTCTGAATCACAAAAATATAGACACAGTACTTCTTCTCTTATTAATTTCACCCAAAATGTGTTCATTAACTTTTTCGCGGCGTTCTCCATCAGTAATGTGCGCCATAATGAAGAAACAAAACACTACACATCAACTGTCGGTCGATTACATTCTCTCGATATACAGAAATATTGTATCGACTGCTGGGAGAAGTTGGCAACGAATAGTAACAACACTGTATGCTCGCCAGCTTACTTTTAACCTAACTTAACAACACGGAAAATCATATGCCGTTATAATACCGTGACATTCTTTGCATGTCATGAGCAATATATTTCATAATAACGTGTATTATATTTTCAAAGCCACACAACCTAAATTTTAACGACAAATAACTGAAACCAGCTGCTTAATTAATTAGTTAACCATTAACAACGTTCTAGTTAACAAATACAGACCTACCACAGTCCATTCATGACTGCTTTTACAACGATAAACAGTGATATACTCGAATGAGGACACACAGCTAGACAAAGCACTTAATTAACCGGTTACGTCTTTATTTAAAACATAAAACAAATTAAAAATAAAACCACTGCAATCAGCAAACAGTGTCGAACAACACACACACATGGAGAACTCCGAACATTATTTATGATCAGCAGATAAAATACAGTGCCTCGAGTGGTATCGGAACCGGCGTGCACACGGCCACAGACAGTTTGGAAATCGGAATTGGTCCCGTCCGTCTTATTTAGAATATAAAATTTCGTTAATTTGCCCCCTACAGTAAAATAAATAAACTTGCATTCTACGCGGAGATCTACACAAAGTAATAAGGCCTTTGTCGGTCGAAGACCTCAGGACCCATATGTCCTTGCAGTTAGGTTATCGTGGATAGAAGTGGGATAAGACGTTTCACAACCAGCCACTAGGTTAAAAGTAAAATGAACCCTATAGCAAGCAGCCGGAAACACCGAGACCATAACAGCTAGCAATAACCTCCTCGGGGTGGCGTGCGGAGATACAGAACTTTATACACCATAAACCCTCCCATGGGTATCACCTCGTTGCGGCGGGAGGGCCTAGTACCCGATGAACCAGAGACCATTCTAGGCAAGTCTCGTCAATGACCATCTTGCTGTCTGGTACGAGGTTAGGGGACGCCAAGAGTAACCCACAACCTTGGTCAAGGCAGCATGTCTAAGGAAGATGACCGTCTGCGAGCTCAAATGCAGAGAGGTGCTAACCCCACCACTGCTCTGCGCAGAGGTCGTAATGCGACCCAAGTGAACTCTTTCCAACATATAAGCCTCGAAACTCGCATTCCATTACAAACCAAAAACAACTGCCCGTCTGGCAGACGAGACATCGGAAGACTAAGTATAAGATGGAAGGAAACGTAACAAATTACAGGCCGGAACAGGCGATTCTCCTCTTCCACAAGAGAATGATTATGATTTTGATATGGTATATGCTATAAGAAGTGTTTATGGTTGCCTAACAACAAAACCAGAGACGCAACAACGGAGGAAAAATTTGTACGATGGGATAACTACGTACCAGCAATCAAACACGCCGCAACTATGGTTCGTGGACACAAAATGTACCTAGCCAAAACAGACTGAAATATCGGTACTTCCGTGTATCAGCCTGTATCTTTTGACACAAAAGGACTTATGACACCACCATTATCTTTTGAAACGTCTGCACAGCTGCTGGGTATATTCACTACGTTAAAACTAAATGAAAACCTACGTTCAGCTGTGCAAGTGGTACACACACGAGAGCTGGAAAGGAAATGTTCGTAGAGGGAAATAAAAAATTAATATTGATGAGCGTGACATGCGTTTTTGTAAATTCAACTGGTTATTAATTAAGAGTCGTAACCCCTGAACCCAACCGTATACTATTTACAAGAATAATTCAGAATATTCGACAAGAACCACACAATATTTAATTTTAAAAAACGCCGCAAATGGAAGGGAAGACGGAAATTGTAATATTAAACACAAATTATGTAGTCGTTAAACGTAAAACAGTCATAATAGAAGGCAGTTTGGCGAGTGTCACTAAATAACCGGCGAATCAACCAATGAGTAAAACGTAAACAGATTCCTTCACAGACCAGCTTAAAATAAAAATTCTTTGCGTGACACAAGAACTTCAAAACAGCGATAAACGAAACACTTCTTCTTACGTAGAACGAAAGCCAAACACCTGGGCCTGAAATCACAGCAGGTGGCAACAAAAACTCCTTTACGGACATACCTTCAGGCTGATAATACTGTAAACCGACTTCTTACACCTCGCATTCGCTTACCTCATATTGCTGCTGTTACTCTTGCCAATTTCATGTTTAACCACTATTAAGTTCTTGTAGATTGGCACCTCATTGATCCTTATTTTGAAACAAAAACTTCACACTAGTCTAAGAACGTTCCTTTGGGTATGACGCTATGCATTTGCGAGGTTTCAGCACAAAACTGCACGTAACAATTACAGGTAACTCTGCAAACACAGGATCACGACAACGCAACAATTATAAGTACGCGTGCTTTTTAATAATAGCAGTGTTACGATTTGACAGGGACTAAATGAATGTAATGAATGCAGCGAATGTTAAAATTACGGCTTGACTGGCACAAAAACTTGTGGCGAGTAGCTCCACAACAGCGTCTGCGGCAGGGACCAAGACGAGACTGACTTGGTCTGATCCAGCCTCCACAGGTGTTTTTCTCCTCGTAGTTCAGCTTTCTACAGCAACCTTCGCAGCGAACTTTCTCTGGGCTGCCTTCTCCCCTGTTCAGCTGACTGGGGGTGTAGGATATATTTACACTGTGCCCTTTTGTTCTGCTCCCACTAGAAGTTGGGAGATCAGTCCAATAAATTCTGAGATCCGTCGTGTTACTATTATACCTCACAAAAATTCCACAATGGTATTAACTTCTATATTCATTCACTGAAACCAACGCTGTTTGACTCCAGTCGCTCCCTGAACCAGGTAAACTATTTTGCTGCAGACGACATGAACGGCTGCCCGAGTACGTAAAGGCCAATTTTTGTTTCCAGTACTCGGGCTTGGTAACAGTTTTATTGATGTCTGAACTTGCAAATGGATTCACACAAGTCTTCTAAAGATACTGTTGCTGTTAATTAATCGATCTGTAAAGCGTCTTTGTAAGGACCGGACGACCGGGGTTCGATTTCTTATAAGGACAACATATTTGCTCTTCACCACAGAGTCCATTGAATGTGTTTTCACTGGGGACAAAGAGGTCGGAGCGTGAAGATGACCAATAGCTTCAATCTAGTACCGAGGTAAAGCCTGTGGTGCCTTACCTCCACTTCCCCATACGTCGTCATGGTAAGATGCTTAGTCACAGGAGTAACTGTTGTATTTAATGACAGTCGAAGTCATACATGTGGCCTACGGTTATAAAGAATCCCCAGTTCTCTATCAAAATATGAGCAAACTGCCGCTGATTTACTTCAGTCGATGCAGGAAGACACAGAATGGCAGTTACATGAAAAATATTAAGCTGGTTCTGACGACCACAAATAGTCGTCATGGCAACGCTGCTTCTCCACGTGCAGAACTCGGTATCTTTCCAATTTTAAATGATGTGGGACAAGGGTAGAAGTACGGAGACACAATGGCCGTGTCCAGTTTCAAAGACCGGCCCTCACCCGTAGTATTGCGTTCAACGCTGAACTTTGCAGCTTCCTGTGGCCTTACTTGTTTGTTTCTGTTACAAAACCATGACGAAGAATAATGTTCAAGCGAACTGTTTGCAGTTTAACACGACCAGGCCTCATGCTGCATCCACAATTCACCTGGATGGACCGACAATAAACAAATAGGAACAGTCGAATATGAGTGCCATATTGGGCACAAACGAGGATCCAAAGGGTTCAAAGCTCGAACTAGAAGGCTGCTTCTATTGGTTCGTGAGTAAACGATTTAAACACAGTCTTCAATTCTAAAGGGCTCTGACGATGGTGGATTACACTTAAAATTATTCATTGTCTGAACTTTTTCCATTGTCCTTGTGGAAAAGAAAAAACCACAACGTTTCGGAAACTGGCTCTGCTTCCGTCTTCAGGAGAGAGGTAACTACTCAGTTGAGTCCGTCAGACAGTTTGGATGACAAAGTGTCGTCTCTATCTAACGAACCCAAATGAGTAGATACCTCTCGCCTGGAGACGGAAACAGAGCCAGTTTCCGAAACGTCGTGGTTCCCTCTTTTAAATAAGGACGATGGAAGATGTCCAGACAATGAACAAAGTTTTTTTTTTCCCCAGACACGAAACTTGCACCTCTCACACTGGACAGATAGTGTAATCAATTACACGTTGTCATAGCCAATCACAATTCTTCCATTCTCGTAATGCAGCCGGACGCAATTAGCGAGATAAACGTTACGAATTTCACCAATTATAACAAATAAAGCGAACTTGAAACGGGTTTAAAACGAAGATGTCACTTCAATGTTCTGCTTCGGAGTAGCTGTAGCTGTGCACGTCGTATCCCAGTTAATACGAACATGAATTTAATACCTTCCTTGCTTAAATTTACAAACAGAAAATAAACACAAAATGGATAGGCGGTATGCTCATCGATATGCTCCATCTCCGAAACATTTAGACAAAATTTAGTACTACTCAATGGTAAATAAATTGCAAACAATGCATTTGAAAAGTTTGTGTACTCCAATTTGGAGTACAACTTTCCACTCCGTTTATATTAAGAAACTTTTGCTGTGTATATCTCCTTATGGGTTGTGACACTGTAGACTCATAGATAGGAGGAACATACTGTCTCCATCTCCGGGCTAAAGACGGAGATGGTATGCTTCTCACAAATGTTGGCACAGCGTCACAATACCAGAACCTCATATTTCTTTATTACTGGTCACACATTCAGCAGTTATAACGCAGAATTCCACACGGCACTAGACCATTGTTTGGCTACAAATCATTAACTTGTTGATATGGCAGTTTATCTAAACTGCGTGGGATATGACTAGTAACAATCTCCTTTATTCACACTCGATACAAACAGCAAACACACCTGTTTCAATATGCACAAATTCAGCGGCTCATTCAGTGAAATTTCAACAGAAAACAAAAAAAGGTTTTTACATCACCATCATCTCAGTCAAATTTAAATAACTGTCCATTTAGGTTCAAAGTTTTTTTTTTTACAAAATACATATAATTTAATTGAAACTGTACTTCGACATAAAACAAACAATCAGATTAAACATTTGCTTAGCTAAGACATTTGACATTGTCGTCGTCAAGTAATGCCCAACATACTTTGATCCTGAGGGGTGGCTCCTTTACACTCATGGCAAGCTATCAAGTTATGTTCTTCAGCCACTAAATACTACGTTCTAAAATGCTAGAATGGTATGATGGCATGAAATATTGGCATTTCAGAACATACCGGTAATATGCAAGAGGTGAAGATGCACGTAAACCCAATAGCTTACCACAAGTGCAAGAGAATTTCCGAGGATGGCCGAAAATAATCAAAAGATGGTAACAAAGAGCAACTAATAAAATGCTGTATCTGACATTTCATTCAGTGTTAAAATGTAAGTGATACAACACAAGCGTAAAATTCAAGTTAAATTTTAAAATAATTCAAACTAATTACTTACTCAATGCTGCAGTTTTGGAAATAAGATTTTCCAAAAACCATATATCAAAGGTATAAAGTAACAAAAGCTACTTTTGGTATAAATCTCAAAGAACAAAAAATTAGTATACAACAAAGTTTTGTCAAGAAAACAGGAGCTATTAAGTACACGTGTATAAAAACTGGCATACATGACCCTAACACCAGATATGCAGCTGGGTTCACACCAAAGAGAGAATGCTCATCGCCAAAATGGGTGCGATCACAGACACTTCAACAAGCTATTCAGCTGAATTACAATTTAATATCTCAGATTCTCAGTGTGAATATATGCATAAGTTTTAATGTCTCATGACAATTACAAGTACACTGCTGGTAAAAAGAAGTGTCAATTTTATTCCTAATATTCACAATTTCTGGTTCTCGATATAATTTTTAAGTGAACGTAAGTACATCTAACAGACTACGTGGAGTACGCTGTTCTTTGAGTGATTCAGCTGCACAATAAATCCTGAGGTGTGATGGACCCCTGAACATCCATTACCATCTGAGATCCGAGGTTTTCACAATGGCGAAGACATCGACCACATTCGCAAAGGACGGCAATCAGACTGCATCCTGATGCGGTTGGATCCATTCCGCACATTCACACATTATTTATCCAATATAAAGATTAATGCTAATATTCCATCTACGCATACATCTACCAAGTAATTTCTTCCCTCGAGATCTTCAGACCAAAATTATGAGGGAAATTTTTGTTCTCCCAAGTGTCATACATCTCGCACCCATCTCATCCTTCTTTATGCTATTAGGTGAATAATAAAAATTGCAAAATACCTCATTACATACTTTTATCCATCCTCATCTTAGGTCCAGATATTCTTCTCAGGCTACTGATGTCCAGTTACATAATGCCCATCTGAGCTCCTGGTAGAAGACACCGCAGAGGTGCGGCCCTCACACTCCTCACGATTTTGTCAGAGGCGAGGGAAGAGACAGGTACGCTAAAGCCTCACTCCAAGATACAATTTGTTCTTCCCTCAAAGCTTCTCTTTATGAGCCTCTGCCACATTCATGATTTCTGTTGTATTCTGACACACAAATGTGAACTGACCTTCGAAGGACTAAAGTATTTTTTACTCGTAGCTGTTCATCACGAAAGTTACGAGAGTCAGAACTTGTACTAACACTGTATGAAACAAAAACACTTTACTAGACTAATCATCACTAACATGTTCTTTCTGCATATCTCTTTCAAAGAGTAAAATTTTCATATCCAGATGTAAACTTAGACAAAATGCATCAATGTTTCCACTAACAAACAATAATTACATGGAAACCAGGGCAGAAATGACGTAAAGAATAACATAAAATTCTTTGTTTGTATCACTTCTCAGTTCAAATGTGACATATCAGGGTGATTGTAAATGATAATTTAGAGAGAGACGCACTGCCCAGACATTAACGTGGAAGGTGAAAGGACAACCAGGAAAGACTTGAACTGGGCAACTCAGACACAGAATCAGTGAAGTAATGGTGCAAGCAACTCCACGTGTACATAAATTTCAGTAAGAATTCCAACTACCAAATTCTGTCATGAAATTTTTTTTGACAAAAGAAAGAGATGGAAGCTAACATGTACATGTCAAAAAAGCATATTCTGTGCCATAAAAATAAATAAAAACAAGATATTAACTGAACAAACTATCACATTAACTGATTATAGTCGAACATTTGTGCTGTAAAGAGAGTACACTTAATTATAAATTGCCTCATTACAAATGTTACAATGAAGTATAATATGGAAGAACACGAAATGCAAACAATTTTGATGAAGACTTTGAAAGGCAAGGAGATGACAGGACATGATTAAAATGGGTGTGATGGTAGGTTTTGGTATTACTGATGCTGAAACTTTGGTTACATTTACTAGTCACACAACATGGCGAGGTTTCCTTCTGTCAGTCAGTCCGCACTGTGAATACTGTCTACACTGCACACAAACAAAATAAAGTGTGAGACGTATAAAATGATTCTGGCAGCCCTGAAATGTCGTTTGAGCGTTAACAACGGCACCTTTCTAACTAGCTTGCTAAAACCTGCTACTGACACCCAAGTACAGGTCAAAGACATCTCCAAACATCAATTAATGTAGAGACACTGAAAACAGAAGGAAAAAGTGATAGAAATCATAAGGTGCATGTAGAAAACAAATTAAAAGCACACTTCGTGGGTTTACCAATAAAATGCAGTAAGAAAGCACAAAAGGACCTGAACATTTTTTTTTGTGTAAGCGAGCTTTCCATCCGGCACATATTTACTTCTACATGAATATATTGCACAATACATATTCCATGTGTTTTCAACTCATGTCAGATATTAATTCTACATATGTACAGCGCACTGTTACTATCAGCAGTGCACATATGGAGTTTCCTTTCTTTTGCATCTCACTGGGGTATTTTTTCTAATAATCTATTAAAATATTCTGCCATAAATTATAGTTAGTTGAACTTTATTCTTACCATTTGTGACAGGAATGTTCATTCTTAGACAACTTCAAGAAAAATTACACAAACACAACACAAATACTCAAGCACATATTATTTTCCATTAATTTTTTTGTTTTACCTTCTAATTTCTGCGCCAAAGAGTTTCTGTTAACTTGTACAAAACCTTTCATTCTACTTTCTCAGGATCAGGAGTATTTTCTGATCAAAACATGTTTCCATCTGTTCTACTTTTAACAAATTTTACTTTAAGTACACAGAAAAGCCATGTACTGAAGCTGTGTGGACTGATAAACACAGAGTTCTCAGTTTGTTGTAGAATGACTATATTGCACATTGTTCATGGATACTTGAGTATTTTGCATGCCTTTAATAGTTAAATTAATTTTTTTATTTACTTACAGTATCTCATAAGTTTTAACTCTTTCCATGCTATGCCCAAGATATCTCACTCAGAAGCACTGGTCTTTTTGGTCTGGATTATTTCACATTTTAAAAATGAAAAAAAAATCTGTCCTTGCATCTCAGAACAGTTATAGCCAATTATTTGCAGTTTAGCAAATTAGCTATTGGTTGGGAAGCCTGAAAGGAAGACACCTCTGGGGAGACCTACACGTAGATGGGAGGATAATGTCAGGCGGGATCTGTGTGAGATAGGAGTAGAAGGAGACTGGGTTTGCTGGCCCAGGACAGGGTCTGATAGCTTTGGTTAATTCGGTGATGAACCTTCAGGTTCCGTAAGCCATTTAGTTAGTTAGCAAATTAGCAATTAGTTTTACAAATACTTGTATATTAATGAAAGGTATCTTTGGAAAAGAAACAGCATGGAAAGTTTTAAAATGGATAATGATTGGTAACAAAGTTTCTTGACTGCATGCAAAATTATTTTTAATAATTATTGAACATAATTATGTCATAAAACTGCAGCTACCATTTGGGAAGAACGTGTGTTCAAATGGTGACTGTTAGCATGTCCTCACACTTTTGTTTGTCACTCAAAATTAAAATTAATATAAATATTGCTATGACATATACACACATTACTGTAAATATAATGCACATCAGTACTGTATCATATATATTAAGGACAAGCAATGCCAAGTCTGGAAACTTCTGGCGGTCACATATCTGCGTAAGGAGCATGGAATCATATCCAATGTATTTAAAAAATTCACACCAATAAATTTCCATTAAAAAATCTTAAATACATGCATCTTTTGAGTATTGCTAGATGTAATTTTTAAAGTGATTAAAACAAAATTATCAATGCAAGCTTACTTCAAGTTCAGATCAATACCTACTTCATTCAAAAACAGGTCAATGTACAAATGAAAGATCATCACACCCTCAAGACAATGAAGTCATCACCAGAGACAAAATCTACCTACACCACACATCTGTTTTGTGTCCCATCAGAGAGATTCTGACAAGAAAATATAACATTTTTCTCCCTCTCTCCACAAGAAACTTCCCTGCTACTGTTTATAAGATAATTTTATTTGGTCACTGTTCATTGTCTCGATAGAAAATATGACATTTCCGAGGTGGACAGGTATGGATGAAAATGACGGAACCTGCAAATTAACATAGTCTCTGGCTTGGTATCCTCCACATTCACAATGTTTTATTTTTGTCAGAGGCAAGGAATCAGAAAACCCCATACTCCACAGAACCAAACCTTACCACCATGCAAATAATCATACCATTTTTGTTCCTGTAACCCAACTGAACCCTGGAACAAGGGTTACCTTCATTTATTAGGACTCAAAAGAGATCTACTGATCCAAGGGTAAGATGTCAATTCAAGACTAGTCAGATACAAGACAAGCTGTGAATGTGAGAAACAGCAAGTCACTGCCACTGTGGTTCAGGGCCCTCTGCCAATCATCAGACTGTAACTGATGACATCAGCCGCAACAATCTCACAGTCGGTACGTTTCTTAAACCTCACCATGTGAAACAACAAACATCCTGCATGAAAAGACTACTCTCATACACAGCAGTGTATATCACTGATAACAGTACAAACCTGCTCTTAAGACTACTGCAGGGCCCAAATCCTGATACACCTGGTCTGCAAAGCTTGTAAAAAAAACATGCACAAACTCATGTTAATTGGATTTGAAATTAAAATACCATTAAAAATCTTAATTTCTTGTGGGTTATGAAATTCATTACAATGAAAGATGGAGACAAAGACAAAAATTAATATCAGAAATCATGATGATATACCAATATCACCTGATGGGGGCTCATAGATGCACATGGTACTTTGGAATGGGGGGCGGGAATAAATACACTAAGCTGTATTTGGAACTTGTCTAACTAAATATAATATTTTTGAATAAAATTCATTAACATTTATCATTAAGCCCTCACCTCTCAAATGCCATGTCAATCACATGCATTGTGTTAGTCATCATTCCTTGTCTGCAACACTACAGTCATCCTTGTTTCACACCTGGGCCATGCAGTTCGATGAAGCTCTCAAGCGACTGTGGCACTTGGCCTTGGTACGTAAGATTGTACGTTTTCACAGCTTTAGCAGCCATACACTTCAAGCTCAATTTTGTCTGTGTTCGAAGGATAATCTCTGCTACACCTGCAATGCAAATAAAATTTAGAAGTTCAAATCTGAACCAGAATTTTAACTGCTTCTTGATGTCTCCATTGGCTATGAGCCCACTTGACAGAAAAGTACCAGTCTGTTCATTTTAATCTTTGGTTTTTGGATAGGAAAATTACCTATTACAATGTGACAATTGTAATTTTTTAAAGTGTTTTCAATAAACTAAACTTTCATAATTTCATACCACCTACCAGTAGTTGCAGCTTCAAAGGGAGTTTCACCATGTGCATTGACTGTGTCCATATGCGCTCCAGCTTCAGTCAATTCCATTATAATGGAATGCAAAGTTAAGAAATCACTGCAAAATAAAACATCAGATTTAGCAATTTATTTAAAACCTTGCATACCATGTAGTGTATTGGAATATAAAACATGCATACAAACAAACTGTTTACACTTTTGAAGGACACTAATGCCAAACTCGTTTCGACCTCAAGAGGTCAAGAGATCATCAGTGGCAAAAACAAGTTAATTCATATAATACAAACCAAAAAGATTATGGTTTTTAACAGAGAATAAAAGGTATGTACTTTAAAAACCATATTTAAGTAACACCTCACTAGACGTTGACTGCACTGGAGTTGGCGTATCATGTTGAGCACTTCGCTTTTATGTCCACTGGTCCGATTGCCATTGTTGGTCTACGGTGAGCCGTAGTTGTGTCGTCTGTGCCAGGCACATAAATAAGGTTTTGTAAAGTACACAACTTTTATGCTCTCTTAAAAACCATAATCTTTTTTATTTGTATTTATGAATTAACTTGTTTTTGCCACTGATGATGACCTCTTGAGGTCGAAACGTGGTTGGCATTAGTGTCCTTCAAAAGTGTAAACAGTTTTGTTTGTATGCATGTTTTATATTAGAAATTTGCTGTACTTTTTTAAAGCAATGTGGACATGCAGAGTGGGAAAGAAGGAAGAGTCCAATGTGGTGTAACTTAGATACATAAATGCATTGTAAGGTTTCGTCATGATACACTAGTTCCCTGCCTCAAAATATCATTAATGCATTTTTGTGTCAATATATTAGAACAATGGGTACTCACAACTCAGGATTTGATGAATGTTGTGGTTTTGGAGGTTTATTTTTATGCACTTATACTTCCAAGACCATATAAACAATTTTTGATGAAATAAAGTAATAAGGCAGTTCACACTTGAAGCAGTCATGCAAATTTAACATTGGTAAATTATAATTCATACAGACAAATTTCCTATGAAATAAATTGATAACATTCACAACTTTCATTTGAAACATTTTTCAGAGATATAAATATTTTACAAGAAGAAATAATTTTTTAGCCCAAATGAACATCAGGGTCAGAACACAATTCCAAACATGTTTATCTGAAGGGTTAGGGTTCCTTACCTTATGGGTTTCTGGTAACTCACAATAATATGGAGGGGAGTATTTCTGTTCTGATCCATTGCATTTACATTGGCTCCACATTGAATTAATAACTTGGCTGTTGACGCACATGGAAACCTAAAATAAAGAAGCGGCATTAAAAGAAAGCCATTAACTGACCACGCACCTCCATCTACTGTGTGGAATCAAACTTCAATTTCTCCATCTTTTATAATGACATCCCATAGTCTTTCTTCCTTCTGTCTGTAGTTGAGTAATCCCAGCAGTAATTTTTTGTAATAGTTTGTTTACACTACCTTACTAAATAGTTCTTATGTTTCTATCCTTGTGAGGTTCTGTCTGATGTTTTTGAAGGGCATAAGGATTCTGGGTGAGTGTGGAAAACACTGTGGTAAAATATGGCACAGGGATATGAATGTGAACACAGAATGTTTCAGAAGGAGGCCACTGAACGTCAATTGGAGACACTGAGGAATACCACAAGATATCCAGTTACCTAGGGTAAATATGAAGCACTGTACAAGTTACTGTTACACCAGTCAGGATGGTAATGTTTCTGTTAGAACTATTTCATTTCAAATCTGTAGAAACAGGTAATGCATACTCACTTGCATACATCATTTGTGTGAAAATCATCAACAGGTGTGTCTGCATTAACACACAGATGTAGGAGGGTCTGACCATCTCTCATCGCAACTTGTAACTGATTCAAACGAAATACGAGACAGTTAACATGAAATTCTTCTTTCTTTGTACAGAACTTCATTAGTTTTGTAATTATTACTAAAATGTATAGGACTGTAGTTACATTACTCTCCAGTTCCTCCTGTAACACACAACAGAAGCCGTTAATAACTGCAGCATGGGTTGTAGCAACTGCAGAAGAGTCCTTGAGAGACCAAAACAGATTTGAAGATGACTTGATAATCTTACAAGTAATAGGGCATGAAAATGTAAACTGAACTGAGATGATTCAGGATAAGGTCCAGTGGAATGTTCTATGAATAGTCAGGTTCCATAAAAGTAAATAGTTACCAAGTACTGAAGGAAGTCCCTGTATGATGGTGTCAGACGAATATTTTGTGTGACCTGTTTAAACCAATGAGGGTATCACCAGGGCCAGATTTACAGTTGAGGGGGTCCCAGGGCAAGCAATATTATGTGGAGGCCCCTATCAGTAACAATAAATATAGGTTATATTGCAAAAATTTATAAATAAACAATAATAAAGTATAAATAAGTTGTCAGTTTCCTGCAATGATTACCTCAATGCTATTTGCTGGGAGGGGGGGGATTTTATGAAGGCCACAGAGTGATTGCTCTGGTCACTACATCTTAAATCCAGCCCTGGTTTTCACAGTGGAAAGCCAATACTATAAGAAATTCTGGCACACAAAGCTTGTGTCAAAGGTAGCAACAAACTGATGGCACTTTCATGGTATTATGCAAACAAAATTGGAAAATGATGATTGAAACATGGACCACTGGAATAGAAAAACTTCTAGGAGACTACGCAGTACTACAACCCAGAACACAGCCATCTTCGTACTCACCACCGAGAGAACCTCAAATTCTATTTACGATAGACACTGTTTCATATCCATAAAGGCCAAGTAGATTTGATACTGAGAAGAATGATGATAAACTTCATGCTCATCCCACTTCAAGCTCCAGCAACTGTCCCCACAAGATTAAAACAATGATCAATTCAAGAAGTCTATTCACAGTGTTTGTATTTCCAGCACGTAACACTACTTATAACTGGAAGACTTATAGAGATAGTGCTGCTCACCATGACTTGCTCTACGTCATCTTTAGGACCTGGGTTTCCAATCTTCTCTTTGTTACGCTCCAGTTCCAGAACTGACGCAGCTAAAACATCTTCAACTTGAGAGAATGTTAAGTCTACCCCAACATGGATCATCTGAGAAAATACCTGGAACAAAGACTGAGGATTATCTAATTCAGTCTCAGGTTATAATGATACTGCTTCACCTGCAGAAGTTATACAGCGTAACTAAGATGGGAAGATGTGCATCACTGGAGAGAAAGTAAAGACTTGAGGAGACAGCTGTACTTTACTTGAATGCACTATCCTACCATTTGTGCAGATAGACTAAGGAACACCATGTAATACCTGTAACCTTGCTAAGATTAAAACTGTGTACTACCTAAATACAAGGCTATCATGTTGCCACTACACTACTGCTGCTGACAAAACTCTAAAACCAAATTACATGTACACAGCAGTTTCTGAATGGCTAAACTGGCACACATCACCGCCTTGACAAGACTGACCTATCCCATTAATTACACATACCCTGCCCCAAATTCTGGGAGTTAACAGAATTCAACACACAACACTGCATTATGCTGCACTTCATAGTTATTTCTCTGTTGCAATGAGCAGGTATTTTGAATTCTGAACAAGAAGCTTGAGCCCTTGTCTAGAAGTATCAACATTTTGATCCAGTGAATGTTTTATTTAGTAATATACTTGTTCTTACTGCAGCTGCTCACTTATTTTAGGTATAATTATTATCTAGAACAAATTTAAACTTGACTTTCATGCATAATAATGTACTCACAACTGACAGACAGTGACTGGTTTAATTTCTGTCATGTTACAATCCTTGTAATTATCCCACTGATAGCCACCTGCCATCTTACTGAATCACAGAATGGTTGTACAATGCCTCACCTCTGTAGTCAATAGATGCCAAACATCTTTCTCCTAATACATCACCTTATACAAACACAGAATTCTGTGGCTTTGGTTTAGTTCTCTATGTACAATTTCAATTGCAAAATAATGAGAGGCTCTTAACTTTTCCCCGTAAATCTCTTGTGGCATTTACCCTGTGTTACATATATGTATTCGTAGCAATCAAGAAGCTACAGTAAAATATGCATCATACTTCTTTGACAGTTACCTGAGCAAATCTAAGGAGATCTTTGACTACTGACACTTTGTTAAGTTGCCGAAGATGTAAAGCATGCAGCCACAGCTCAATACAGCGATCAAATCGAGCATTGTCTGCAAATACAGCGCCTCGGAAAATAATCGGATGGGGCACCTCTGGATTGTGAGTGCCCAGGATCCGCTCACGGATTGACAGTGATTCCATGTGCAGAGCATTCTGATTGAGTTGGATTGCTTCCAACTCTTCTATCGTTTGACATTCAACCCAGTTTTCATATGCTGGAACTGGCTTCACCAGTGTCTTCAGTATGATATTATGTGGGTCACTATACCTTGAATTCAGAAACACAAATACAACATCAAGCGACTTTAAAATAACACACAAAAAAATGTTAACAACTGCCAACTACATCAAAATCTATATCATAATAATTTCTTTTGGATATATCATTAGTCCCAATGCACACGTCACATGAATCTGAATTTACTAAGCACTTGCTACACTGTCAGTGAAACCATAACCAAAAGGACAGAAGATTAATATCAGCTCAAAATATGTTTCATTAAATAGACAGTAGGTTGCATACATTTCAGATATGCAATAAATGAAGAAATTATAACAAAATTACAAACTACACCAATAAAAGAAGATCATTTTCTCTGGGAAGTATCACCATATCCCAGAAGACATACAAAATTACAAACTACACCAATAAAAGATCACTTTCTCTGGGAAGTATCACCATGCTATATCCCAGAAGACATGACCCTGAGGAAGAAGACTCCTGGAAATATAGAAAGATTCTGTTTCATAATACCTATTACAGGCCCACAGGGCATGTAATGAGTAGAAATATGATGATGAAGGAACAATGAATACGATTTTAAACACAAGCTACCTCATTTCCATTGTCCGATGTAAATACTGGTATGCTAACTCGAGACAGTAGTTGTCTTTATCATTAGCATAAGAAGCCCCAAGTAATTCTAGGGCCTCTATTTGTTCCTCAATTGACACCTCTGACCGTGTCACCAAATATTCTACTACATCAGCCCTCGTCCGTTCAGCTGCTGCTACCAGTGGAGTCATACCTGTAAGAGACATCAAAAACAGAAAGTTGAGGTTTTCTCATGATGGTGAAGATTTTGATGTTGGTCTTCTGAGTTTTAACACTGCATAAACTTGTAGGTCTGAAATGTTGGTATCTAACTACAAGTCCACATGGTATTACTACTGGCAGATCAACATCAACAGCCAGTTAATTTCCAAATAATTCCTCATAATGAATTTTGATAAACACAGTACCACAAAATAAAGTACCAAATGGCATACATAAGAGACCACTGGAATCAATCCTGCTAGTACATCACATGCAAGAAAATGTGTGAATTTTATATGAAAGCAGTTTTATTATAGCCTTGGTACAAAAAGACCTATACTGTCTCCAAAATTAAGTTATTTTCTTAATTTGTATTATATTATTCCTTCTGCTACAAATATGACACAGCTAGGAATAATATAAACAATTATTATGTCAGCTAATGTATTATAAAATGCAAGCAGAACACTCTACCTCTACATCTGTGTTCTTCCTGTGGTCCACAGCTGGGTATACTATATTATCTTTTTTATCTTTTATTAACCTGCAATAGCACTACAACAGTTGTAGTTATTTACTAACAAACCCCTCAATTTTACACAGGAACATGCCATCTGGCATCGCTGGAACGAAATATGAGTGGACCCAAATTAAAATCGTAAAATTTCTGACAATGGGCACCGCTGACCCTCATTCCAAAAGAATGTGCTGGTTGGGCGACATAACAGGTTACCGCTACTGTTTATTCCAAAAACATTGTGCGTCTTTCGGTAATAATTTATCTCAAAACCCAGCATTTTAAATTCTCAGAAACGATCATTGCGGGAAAATTGTGGGCCGGGACTAAGATTTTTGAACGATCGATGCGATAAAACGATAGTTCGAGGAACGATAGAAGCGGGAAAATGTAACATTATTTTATATGGGATATATTCGGGACCGAACAAAACGGACGATGCATCCGGGAAAACGATAGTTCCGGGAACGATGGATAGAGGTTTCACTGTATAAGTAAACATGATTATAAACAAACAATTCAGCCTTTACCTATGGTAAACATGATTATAAACAAACAATTCAATCACCTAAATGTTGTATAATAAACTTACAATGGATGGTCCCTCTAACAGCATACAAACTTACAAGGAGTGAGGACTGTCAGCTTTGGGTAACAACTTCAAACAGTCCTGGGACAGAAGCAGAAACAGTAGCTACACTGCAGGTAAGCTGAAGCATGCAGCAGACAGCGCAGTACATGGAATGCTTCAAAATGGATCACTTCAAGCAGCAGGTAAACATCAAATTTTAACAGTGTCTATGAGCAATGGCATCAGAAATGCTGCAGAGACAACAAATATTGTTACAATTACTTTAGAACTGGTTCATCAATACGTACCATTTTCGTTCTTAGTTATATGTGCCCCGTATTCCAACAGCTCCTTAACGATTGCCACGTGACCACATTCTGCTGCAAAGTGAAGTGCTGTAGCACCACAGTGCGCTTTCTCATTGGGATTGGCTCCTTTCTCCAACAGAAAACTGACTACATCTAAATGCCCTTTGTATGCAGCAATCATTAAGCATGTATTATTATATTTATTTGCAATGTGAATATCAGCAAGATGATCTGTCAAATACTTGACAATGTCCAACCGACCATCAAAACACGCGGCACGTAAAGGCGTTGAATTTGTTTTTGTTGGATGGTTCACACTGGCACCACTTTTCACCAAAGTTTTCACAACATTCAGATGACCTGCACCTGAAAATAAACAACACTGTTAATACAACGCAATATAAAAATTGAAATAATAAGGCTTCATGGAACAACATTTCAAGTTCTATTAATATGTTACAATATACATGGTGAAGATGCCAGATGCTGCTAATCAGGATTTGGTACATACAGAAATGCTGAAATTAAGAGAAAAACCACAGGAAATATGGTTACTAACAGAGTTCAAAAACTGTTATTATTCTGTCAGCTCTCCAATACATTAAAGACCAAATTACACAAAACAATAAATATACTGACTGTAGACTATAATATGATTGTGAAATGTGGTTTCTTACTGTGAATAGAGACCATAACTTGTGTTCAAAAACAAAGTGTTTTGGTGTTAGCACCTTCAGACTGTTCTAATATCAGACACTTACTATTAACTGCAATGGCTAGTTACTCTGTAACATAACAACAGGACTATCAAAAAGAGATCAAGGAAAGGAAAAGGATGGAAATGCCCATGGCCCATTCGTAGGTGCCATTCAGGCATTTGACTACAGTGTCACATGAAATGCATGAAAAATCTCAGTTAGGATAGCTGTTACATGACTGAGATTTAGTCAGCTGCAAGGCTCAACAAATTTCAGATATCAATGTGGCAATCAGAATTTTCTGCAGGGCTGTTACAAAATTTTCTTTATTAATGTGGGAAAAGTTTTAAAATTTGAAGCTTGTAGTCCATATTTAATTAAGCAGATTTTAACTTCTGCAAATGGCAAATATGAAAGCCTTTCTTTTCAAACTGTATCATCAGTATAACTGAAAAGTGTGGAATGCTGCAACTGGTGTAATTAGTGGTTTTAAATTATAACATCCAATCTGAATCTGTACACCCCCTTCATTGTAAGCACTTTGCTCGAAACATATGCTTTTCTGTGCATTTTCATTAGTCTTCACTAGGAATTAAAAGTCTGTTGCATTCCATCATGTATGACACCCTCAAATAAAACTGGACTTTGCCATTGTATGAAATATGAAAACAGTGTGGACATTACAACCTGTTACTAAACTTATACTTGTAATGTTACTTGGATTTCCATCAGGGCTTCTAATTTTTGGAGGTGGCATCCAGATTGAGAGTTAATTTGTTAAGGGCACTTCATAGAGTACACACAAGTTTGGTAACTTTAGCCTATCCACATTTATTGCCTTGCTCAGTAGTTATGAATGTACCTGCAGCACACCATAATGCACTTGCTCCCTCTATAACGTAGCCATCAAACTTGACTGTTCCTTCCTGTTCCATGTCTGGTTTGAATTTGGAAAGAAGCATCTTCACAACTTTGTCATGGCCATGCCTTGCAGCCACAATGAGGGGTGAACACCTCTGCCCATCCTCCTCTATCACCTGCTGATATAAAATTAAATTGCATTTCCAAATCATTATGATAGAATAAATGTTATAATATGGCTGCTATTTCAGATTAGAATACCTGGACATCACTTTACTGGACTGGATATCATTCAGGTGCCTGTTTTGAAGAAAATCTTTACAAAGTAATTCACACTCAATGATAAACTTTAACTACACTTCAAATATGAGCACTCACCACACTGCAATAACAGGTTGTTTGCCCATTATTACCTACCAGAACTATGAAAATGCAGTGCTATGCTAAGCCACTCACAAACATACACATGCCTCTTCAGATTAATTACACAGTTTCCTCTTACAATAAGACATTATAGGTTTAAAAATGTCTTTTCTTTATATAACTGAGTCATTAACCATAAATAATGCATGCTCTTATGGTTCTGTCCTCCATCAACCATCTAACTCAGTGTTGGGCAACATTTCTACACTTGCTGCACACTAAATATTGTCGAAGAGTTATGGCGGCACACCAACCCCATTTTGTATATTGTGGAGGAGGGGGGGGTTGTAGATGGTTTATGGCATTGATTGGCCGTGACAGCTTACAAATTGACCCCAACCAAAAAATGTTCTATTTGACAATCATAATTATCCATCTTTATTATTATGTAATTTACTTTAAATATATTCATTATTTCAAATAAATTAAAACATATTTATACATATTGTTTAATCCTAAATTTATTAAACAAGTGTAATCATTAAGACTTTGAGATACATATTCATATTTTTATATGTAATTATTTCACAGTATCCAAATCAGTTTCCCACGACTCAAACATCCCACTGCATATCGAATATTTTGATGGAATATGACCTTCATTTACAAACATTGGATGTGAGCAGAGAAAATATTAGATTTAAAATAAAACTAGACATAAATAATTATCTAATTATAAAAATCTATAATCCACTTAATAACTATGTGGTTTCCATTTACTGTCACCTCTCTTTGTAGAAAAATACACAGAGTAGCAATAAAAGTAAAGGGGAGGTACATGTGTTTTGCTGCAAAGTGGTTGTGTTACTTTTACAATTCCACTCAGCAGATCTTGTCTGCCCAATCAAAATAGAAATTGAGACCAAGCACAAAACAAGACAAATATTTTGTTGTATAAAGTAAAGCTTTCGTGGCGACCGAAGTTGATGAAAGACTTTCAGGCAACAAGCTGCGTAGGGTAGCTGAATGGTAAACGAACCATTTCTTCTACCGTTTTGAGAGCCATATCTGCTCTCATCCTCAGGGCAGCTGCGAAACTAAACTGGTCCTATGTAGTGCGCTCGCCGATGGCAACTGGCACGCTACATAGGACCAGTTTCGTTTCGCAGCTGACTGAGGTACTTTAGATACTATCCCAACATTTTCCTATTAAAACTGAGGAAAATCATGAACACCTCCATGAAGATAATAACCAGGCCAAGATTTGAAAATTATCCCTCCTGGAAACAAAGCAGTGATGATAATCACTTCATCACATTATGTTTGATGAATATACAAACAAACCTATTAAACAAATATTTTAATTCATTTCTGAGAAAAAATACTGGAACAGCTATACAATATGGTGACATTTTTAAATTAAATATAACTCCATTCTAACCCAATTCATTCCTTAACAAATGTCTGTTTTATTTACAATGCTTATTCCAAATACAAGCCCTAACTTATACAGCATGACCAGTCTCTGTCTTGTAAACAATACATTTAGATCTTTCTGGGGTTCTGAATTTTATTTTCCATATCAGATATGTCATTATCTTTTGGTGACAAAAAAAAAGACAAATTTAATTTTGCCTTATGACTGTTATACCATATACACTCAGATTTATCATGAATTATACACTGGTTATGAAGTACCATGTAATTTATGTCTGTATTATAAACAAGTACTGTATTTGTGCTAATACACGTTGAACATCCTTGGCTTGGGCTTATGAAGGATCTATGGAATGTAAATAAATTCTATTCTATTCTGTTCTCAGTTTGAGAGTCCTAACCTGGTGCTATCTAAGAGTTAATGTTAGAAATGTTATGTTACAGAATGCTGTGCCCATTGATACAACACATACATTAACACTTAACTCACATATGAGACTTAAAGTTCTCATGTTAATGAAAACATTGATTCTGGTTTTCTGGGTTGTGATGTCATGCAGTCTTATAGGCAGATATCAACATTACTTTGAAATGCTTGTAAACACTTCCAAGATTACAAGGCATCACAAACCAAATGACAACATTGCTCCTTTCTTTCACAATATATAAAATGTACTGTTCTCACCAAACATTACTTTCACATCTAAATTTAAAAATTCCAAACATATATTCAACAAATGTATATATTAACAAACGGTACTGTAGGCAACTTGTATATGGCAATTTCAAACACATTCAACACAAATAAATAATGGACAAACTATCATTTGTTTCATTCGCCACACATGAATTTTGTTAAAAAAAATTTCAATGTGATTGGTTTGTAATTAGATTTCGTTAGAACTTTTAATCACAACTGATTCACCACGTATATTTATAAATATGCATGTCACTGCATAAAGTTTGCCAGCCAAAGATTTTCGTTGTTCATCAATGTATGACGATGCTGACTTAAAACTTTACCTGTTTAAGTAGCTCACATACTTCTTCGTCATTCTTCTCAGCCAGTAGTGCATACAATGTAATTGCCATTCCATCTCGTGCAGCATAATAAACTCTATTTTTGAGTGACTGTGCTAATTCTGTCATTTTTAAGTTCAGGTGGCTATTGAACAGTCTTTTGAGTTCTAGGAAATACTGGCATTATCATCTAGACTTAGTTAAGTGTCACATCATGGCAGAAAAAGCATTGTATATGGCCGGTAAACTACTAAATAGCGATAATTTAACTTCCACCACAAACCTGAATTGAAGATACGTATATTTAATTACAAACACAAGGATCAACCGATGTCTGCTACAGACAACGTTCCATTATTGTTTGTTCACTGGGAACAGAACGTCACTATTACGATTAGTAAATGGAAAGCAATATCGAGGACCCAAAGATGGCAGAATATGTTTATTATGCTTTAACACCAGATTAAAAAAACTAATTTGTGCCGATAATACACTGTCAATGGTATGTTAACTTTTGTGGTTCTCTTAGTTTTCTGTTTTATGAAATTAACATCCCTAACTCTTTCATTTATTTACTTCCAGAGCTAATGATAGAAAATTGGTGAGCGTAGATTAGCAGATACCCTGGCTCGTGTGGTTTATGCGTTCCTGAAGTGAGGTATAGCATGACGGTCTTCCGCCCTATGCATGAAATAACTCGAGTTCGGTTACCCCGATTATAAATATATTTAATGTCGGAAAGTTTTTTATGAGTTAGGAATAGATTAAATTTTCATAAGATTTTAATTACTACTTTACATACAATCAGAATTTATTTCCTTTAGCTTACGCAAATACTTGCAAAAATGATCTTTCTAGCTTTCATAAACTACAAATATAAATACAAAGTAAAGCTGTCCCACTATACACCATGTTGGCGCTTGGGGGGAAGGATTGAGATCACCCTACTCATTCATAACCTCTGCAGTATGTGGGGGTGAGTGGTTAGCGTCACGCCCAGGCCGTTTTACCCTCGGGAAAGGACCCTGGCACTCATTGGATAGGGCCCTGACCTAGTCTGGATGCAGAGGCTAGAAGAAAGTAATCTGCCCCCGTAGGGGATCGAACCCGGGTCGTCCAGTCACTATACTGACTTGAGCTACCCAGGCTCAAAACTAAAAACAAATGCAGAATTGTGATTAATTACAATTGATTCCGATATTGAAACGTTTGTTTTCCATTTGACACCTCATTTCTTCCACCACACTGGTTTTTCAAACAGTGGAAAAGAAATTGGACTTTTTTCTGCTTTTGGTTTGATTGCATTAATTTCACATGATTTTAATTTTTCCTTTGGTTTTTTGCATATATAGGTTACATTTTATCTGAGAAGATTCTTGATAGTGTTGACAAACATTTATCAATTCAGCAGCAACAGAATTTAATATTCAAAAGAAAACCATTAGAATGACAGGTGTCATAAATCTCTTGCAGAGAACTATTTAAAACATTTGATATACAAGATACTGATCACATAAGTATAACCTGAATCTGCAGAGGAAAGAAAAAGGCTACTACTATTATGAATCTAACCTGCATTAAAGAAATTCTTGCCTTTACACATACCTAGCAGGTGGTACAAAGTAACAGTATAGATGTTCAGAGCAACAACTTGGGCTTGCTACAATAACTGTTTTGTTAACGAACCAATATAACTTTTTCTGAACACTATGTAGTCTGACCTACTGACAGCACCACCAACCAAAAGTAACTTTTTATTTTAGTTCTCATACATGTAACAAGCACACACTGATTTCTTTTTTGGGAGGGGGGGGGGACTGGGAACAAATTAACAGACAATTCTTTTGTTAAATTATTATTTAACAACTTACCTTAGACAAAGGTGCTGTCAACAATGCATACAATGTCTTGTAAATGAATTTAAATTACAAAATTAGTACTAATGATATTAAGTTTAAACACTCAACAGTTACATGAATTATTCTTCATTATAAACAACTGAAATACCTTTGTCAGCAAGAACTAATTACATAACAGAATATAGGTTATGTGTATTCAGTTATCCCATGATACAATCCAATGTTACATTCATATATCTATATAAAGTTTAAGTGTAACACTAATTTCATGTGCATTATTAAGGTACACAGTTCCATAGTCAAAATAAATATTTATTTACAATAAACTGTACCTAGTCCCCCTCCTGGATGCACCCTTCAACCAAATCTCTCAAATCTGGGTTTTCCATTGCAGCTGCTATTCTTTCCTTATCATTTATCTGCTTGTTAACTGAAAATAAAATTAAATACATATTCACTAATTAAAATTATTATATCACAGAGATTTTGCAATATAACAGAATCCAGTGATTTGAAGGGTTTCTGTTTAACACAGAACTTCTACATACAGTACAGTAAATACCATCGATCACAAGTTGGGAGTTCATACCATAATATTTTATTTTTATTTTCTTTTTCCAGTTTTCTAGTCAGTAATCTAAAAGTTATTCTGTTGTTGGCCATATTAATTCTTTCTGAGTAGTAACAAAATGTGTATTTTCTGGAAAATTCCTGGAATGAACAGAAAACTAAACATTCAACTTTAATGTGTTCTGTTGAATTATCTGAGTAACATAACATGGTGCATGTTAATGAGGTTCCAGAACGGGTGACTACTGTCATATGCACTCTCGCTATCACTGTTTTTGCATATCTGCTGTTTTATTTCGGTATCATAAGGAGCATTAATATCCTATCGGTAACCACAGTAGAAGCTACAACACAGGCCCAATGAGTTGCACATGCAGTTTCATGGGCCTGGTCCACCATTTTGACTGCAGGGACTAGAAATTAAGGCCTTTCATGGTGTATCATTCAGAAGAATAATAGGCATTTATGTTTCCCATTTTATG